CCCCCCACACATTGGTACCTGAATGTTATTCCTATTCAGTGTGCCCTTAGGTCTATAGTTGTTAAATGGAGTAAGCTTGATCGAATGTCGCCCCAACATCTAACTGGTTTGTCTCTGTTATTATGCCCTCCTTTTAACGGCAATACTTGTACGGAACGAAAAAATTATACACCCCTCCTTTTCTCCCTACAAACTGGTGATCCCAAATATATGCACCCAATTTCCCTTTTTCGCTGACATCACATTTTTCGCAACCATCAAAACTGTGGATGTTTTCCTTGCACATCACTTGACAATAGAAGACAGCACCTACACAAAAGAACAATACAACGGATATGACACGTGACTGAGGTAATTATATATTGCAATCGCTATTGCTATTGCTATTGCTATTGCTATTGCTTTTCCTTTGATGTTACTCCTCCACAAATCCGATTTTCTGGCGGCGCAAACCAGAGTTTTTTCTTGTTCTCTCTTCTGTGCTTCCTCAACTTGCCCTCCCATACCTCCTGAAAACTCGTTACGAATCGTCCATGCTGTTTAAACTGTGGCAGTCTTCACCGCCCCCTGCCATTACCAAACCATTCCCAAACAACCTTCGCTGCTGCTGCGGTGCGCGTCCATTGTTCATTTCAATCCGGGTTACTAATATAAAGCATCGGCACGTAGACTTCACGAGGTTTCGTCACGTAGGAAAACGGATTATTGGTGCTTTAGCGCAAAAGCCTACCTTAGCAAAGTCTGTAGAGTCTACGTTGATCCTATTCCGCTGTATATAACGAAATCAAACAATTAGCAATGCAGTTAAATAAAAATCGATTGTGCTTGTCCTTCTGACAGAACCATTCGATATTTCCCTAAATAGAAAAATAGATAGGATTTTTAAGTCGCTGATTTTTATTGAAGCACAACATCGCAATGCACACACATCCAAACGAACCCAATCCCCAACCTTGCTTTCTATTATCTCCATGTCCAAGTAAGTTTGGAACTTCACACCTTGTAGATCTTTCAATTTCTATCTAAATGACAACTTTGACACGTTGTTTTTATCCAAAGCTCGACTGTTTTCGAACCACTGGTCTTTGTTCGACACCCAAGATGAAGTGGGTCGCTACATTGTTTCCAAGGAAGGCCATGACGGGAAGACTGTTGAGGGCACTCCACAGTCATGACTTTGTTCCAAGTGCAACGAAATTATCATCCAGTCACAAGCGCCTTAGTGGTCATGAAATGTGGCAAGAATCTCACTGCTTGTTCCGCCTGTTTCTCAAAATGCACGGCAATAGACTTCCGGTCAATCAACGTCCCGTGCCCTGCTTATTCTCAAGCCTTCAAGGCCTGGAACTGCACCTCCCACGTCCAGATCAAAAACTGCACTATGAAACTATGTCAAGTTCCAACAGCAGAAGACTACAATCTACCTGAACACGATCAAAAAGTACCAACCCAGTATAATGCCATTGTGCTACCCCTGACAAGAAGGCAAAGATTGGACTTCGCTCACTCTAACTACATACAACAAGGACATAGACGGTATTATGGTTTCTACAGCTATGTTTGGAGAGAACATAGGGTGCAATGCATGAGAGAGACAGCCTCCATACTATGGATGCTGTCAGTACTCTTTATCATACTTCGCTTCAGGTTACTGGGATGACAGATGGAGATACAGATAGCACCAATCAACCTCATCTCTTCAAGAGTTGTCCACAGAAGAAATACAATTGACAATAGAAGATTGCCAACGCATCCAAACAAATCAAGAGTTTGACGAATGGCTCAACAAGAATAGATGATTGGTTCACCAAGGGTCATGGAAGAGGAAATTTTCTGTGGACGCCACCTCCCGCGGCCGCGGATGTGGTGGCGGAGCAAGTAGGAGAGGCGAGGCATAAGCACCCTGAATCGTGCCATATTGTGATCGTCCCACGTTTAATGACAGGGAGATGGAGACGTTTACTTACGCGACAAACCGACTTCAATACCACCATACCATTGGGTTCCAGTTACTGGGGCCATAAAGAGTTTGAACCACTAACAATGTTTGTCTATCTTCCTCTTATACCCCACAGACCTTGGAGTTTGCGAGGAACAAAGTTACTGGAAACATTGGAGTGGCAACTGCGCGCTGTGCGGGAATGCGGTGAAGAACGGAGAGGGGAACTTCTGCGGGAACTTTTCTTCCGCGCGTGGAAACTTTCCAGCATGCCGGAAAGTGTGGTGTCCAAAATGCTACATCGTCCCAGCTGGAAGTCCCTATCCTATAAGAACAGCAACTGATGAAGACGGTTTTGAGGTAGCAATTGATGGAGATGAAGATAGATTTCGAGTGTCCAGAATTGGGGATTTTTTGATGACTCCATTTCAGTGTGACATTTGCCACTTTAGGAACGTCATGAAACGGAACCCAGATATTGGTAATGAGAAGCATATGCGTTTCATGCAAGACATTCGCCACGCCAACATAAATGCCAATTGGTCCCGCGAGTCAAGCACGGTTAAGGCAAACTTTGCACAAGTAAAAAGACTGGAAAAGGTGGGTACCGATATGTTTGGAATCCCAAGTGTAACCCCGGTAATGGGCCCGTTTCCTTTGGAAGACACTTTTGGCATGGCCATAGCAGCTTGCCTACTCAGAAGATCTCTGGACCCTGGCCGGAACGAAAACACCATTCAGTTTGCCACAGCACGGAGATTCCGATCTGCGTTCTCTAATGCTTATCACGCATCCAAGAATGTTGGCAATATCAGTTCTATGGCGTATGAGGCCAATAAGTTCTACACCACCACATGCCCAACTTACGGGTATTGGTTTGCAAGGTTTATTCTGGGATGTCACAAAAGAATGGGAGATAAAGTGGTGCAAGATTATGCTCTGTCAAGAAAGATCTTCCTCGAGTTGTTGAGGCACTTGGAGGACGATTGGAACGGGGCCCATGAAAACCCAATTGAGAGGGATGGGATCGCAGAGTTTGCAGGAGTGTTGCTTATCGGGTTCCTGTTGGGACTAAGAGGAGAAGAGATCGTAAAGACGGACATATCAGGATTATTGAAGTACATTGACGTGGGAGCTCTTGACCCAGATCACCCCCACGTTATCATCCCGCTCATTGGACGACTCAAGGGAGAGACCGGAGAGCGGTATCACATGCTACCGATGGCGAGGGTAACTCGAAGCGGAATCATGGCTGGGAAGTGGATGGATCGTCTATGCAGGTCTCTGGTGAAACAGGATAGGAGGAATGGCTTTGTGTTCCTCGGAAAGGACGGAAACCCAAAGAAGATTAGAGAATACAATGAAGAGTTTTATGAACGCCTAAGGAGAGTGAGAGTGGAGAAGTGGTTTTTGTTTGAACCGGGAATTGATATCTCGGATGAATATGGGCTTAGAAGATCATTGCGAAGAGGCTCAAACACGGAAGCAAGAAATCGGAAGGTCAGCCAGCCAGTTATTGATATGAATAATAGATGGAGAAAGTGGGAAGGATCAAAGGGCCGCCGACCGGCCATGGAGATGTCAGCGCACTATACGGAGATACGAATGAGTCTTCCCATACTTTGGGAATACTCATTCACCCCCCACACATTGGTACCTGAATGTTATTCCTATTCAGTGTGCCCTTAGGTCTATAGTTGTTAAATGGAGTAAGCTTGATCGAATGTCGCCCCAACATCTAACTGGTTTGTCTCTGTTATTATGCCCTCCTTTTAACGGCAATACTTGTACGGAACGAAAAAATTATACACCCCTCCTTTTCTCCCTACAAACTGGTGATCCCAAATATATGCACCCAATTTCCCTTTTTCGCTGACATCACATTTTTCGCAACCATCAAAACTGTGGATGTTTTCCTTGCACATCACTTGACAATAGAAGACAGCACCTACACAAAAGAACAATACAACGGATATGACACGTGACTGAGGTAATTATATATTGCAATCGCTATTGCTATTGCTATTGCTATTGCTATTGCTTTTCCTTTGATGTTACTCCTCCACAAATCCGATTTTCTGGCGGCGCAAACCAGAGTTTTTTCTTGTTCTCTCTTCTGTGCTTCCTCAACTTGCCCTCCCATACCTCCTGAAAACTCGTTACGAATCGTCCATGCTGTTTAAACTGTGGCAGTCTTCACCGCCCCCTGCCATTACCAAACCATTCCCAAACAACCTTCGCTGCTGCTGCGGTGCGCGTCCATTGTTCATTTCAATCCGGGTTACTAATATAAAGCATCGGCACGTAGACTTCACGAGGTTTCGTCACGTAGGAAAACGGATTATTGGTGCTTTAGCGCAAAAGCCTACCTTAGCAAAGTCTGTAGAGTCTACGTTGATCCTATTCCGCTGTATATAACGAAATCAAACAATTAGCAATGCAGTTAAATAAAAATCGATTGTGCTTGTCCTTCTGACAGAACCATTCGATATTTCCCTAAATAGAAAAATAGATAGGATTTTTAAGTCGCTGATTTTTATTGAAGCACAACATCGCAATGCACACACATCCAAACGAACCCAATCCCCAACCTTGCTTTCTATTATCTCCATGTCCAAGTAAGTTTGGAACTTCACACCTTGTAGATCTTTCAATTTCTATCTAAATGACAACTTTGACACGTTGTTTTTATCCAAAGCTCGACTGTTTTCGAACCACTGGTCTTTGTTCGACACCCAAGATGAAGTGGGTCGCTACATTGTTTCCAAGGAAGGCCATGACGGGAAGACTGTTGAGGGCACTCCACAGTCATGACTTTGTTCCAAGTGCAACGAAATTATCATCCAGTCACAAGCGCCTTAGTGGTCATGAAATGTGGCAAGAATCTCACTGCTTGTTCCGCCTGTTTCTCAAAATGCACGGCAATAGACTTCCGGTCAATCAACGTCCCGTGCCCTGCTTATTCTCAAGCCTTCAAGGCCTGGAACTGCACCTCCCACGTCCAGATCAAAAACTGCACTATGAAACTATGTCAAGTTCCAACAGCAGAAGACTACAATCTACCTGAACACGATCAAAAAGTACCAACCCAGTATAATGCCATTGTGCTACCCCTGACAAGAAGGCAAAGATTGGACTTCGCTCACTCTAACTACATACAACAAGGACATAGACGGTATTATGGTTTCTACAGCTATGTTTGGAGAGAACATAGGGTGCAATGCATGAGAGAGACAGCCTCCATACTATGGATGCTGTCAGTACTCTTTATCATACTTCGCTTCAGGTTACTGGGATGACAGATGGAGATACAGATAGCACCAATCAACCTCATCTCTTCAAGAGTTGTCCACAGAAGAAATACAATTGACAATAGAAGATTGCCAACGCATCCAAACAAATCAAGAGTTTGACGAATGGCTCAACAAGAATAGATGATTGGTTCACCAAGGGTCATGGAAGAGGAAATTTTCTGTGGACGCCACCTCCCGCGGCCGCGGATGTGGTGGCGGAGCAAGTAGGAGAGGCGAGGCATAAGCACCCTGAATCGTGCCATATTGTGATCGTCCCACGTTTAATGACAGGGAGATGGAGACGTTTACTTACGCGACAAACCGACTTCAATACCACCATACCATTGGGTTCCAGTTACTGGGGCCATAAAGAGTTTGAACCACTAACAATGTTTGTCTATCTTCCTCTTATACCCCACAGACCTTGGAGTTTGCGAGGAACAAAGTTACTGGAAACATTGGAGTGGCAACTGCGCGCTGTGCGGGAATGCGGTGAAGAACGGAGAGGGGAACTTCTGCGGGAACTTTTCTTCCGCGCGTGGAAACTTTCCAGCATGCCGGAAAGTGTGGTGTCCGAAATGCTACATCGTCCCAGCTGGAAGTCCCTATCCTATAAGAACAGCAACTGATGAAGACGGTTTTGAGGTAGCAATCGATGGAGATGAAGATAGATTTCGAGTGTCCAGAATTGGGGATTTTTTGATGACTCCATTTCAGTGTGACATTTGCCACTTTAGGAACGTCATGAAACGGAACCCAGATATTGGTAATGAGAAGCATATGCTTTTCATGCAAGACATTCGCCACGCCAACATAAATGCCAATTGGTCCCGCGAGTCAAGCACGGTTAAGGCAAACTTTGCACAAGTAAAAAGACTGGAAAAGGTGGGTACCGATATGTTTGGAATCCCAAGTGTAACCCCGGTAATGGGCCCGTTTCCTTTGGAAGACACTTTTGGCATGGCCATAGCAGCTTGCCTACTCAGAAGATCTCTGGACCCTGGCCGGAACGAAAACACCATTCAGTTTGCCACAGCACGGAGATTCCGATCTGCGTTCTCTAATGCTTATCACGCATCCAAGAATGTTGGCAATATCAGTTCTATGGCGTATGAGGCCAATAAGTTCTACACCACCACATGCCCAACTTACGGGTATTGGTTTGCAAGGTTTATTCTGGGATGTCACAAAAGAATGGGAGATAAAGTGGTGCAAGATTATGCTCTGTCAAGAAAGATCTTCCTCGAGTTGTTGAGGCACTTGGAGGACGATTGGAACGGGGCCCATGAAAACCCAATTGAGAGGGATGGGATCGCAGAGTTTGCAGGAGTGTTGCTTATCGGGTTCCTGTTGGGACTAAGAGGAGAAGAGATCGTAAAGACGGACATATCAGGATTATTGAAGTACATTGACGTGGGAGCTCTTGACCCAGATCACCCCCACGTTATCATCCCGCTCATTGGACGACTCAAGGGAGAGACCGGAGAGCGGTATCACATGCTACCGATGGCGAGGGTAACTCGAAGCGGAATCATGGCTGGGAAGTGGATGGATCGTCTATGCAGGTCTCTGGTGAAACAGGATAGGAGGAATGGCTTTGTGTTCCTCGGAAAGGACGGAAACCCAAAGAAGATTAGAGAATACAATGAAGAGTTTTATGAACGCCTAAGGAGAGTGAGAGTGGAGAAGTGGTTTTTGTTTGAACCGGGAATTGATATCTCGGATGAATATGGGCTTAGAAGATCATTGCGAAGAGGCTCAAACACGGAAGCAAGAAATCGGAAGGTCAGCCAGCCAGTTATTGATATGAATAATAGATGGAGAAAGTGGGAAGGATCAAAGGGCCGCCGACCGGCCATGGAGATGTCAGCGCACTATACGGAGATACGAATGAGTCTTCCCATACTTTGGGAATACTCATTCTCGTTCTGAGTCCTCTTCAACTTTTCTCGTGGAGTTTGAAAGGCTCGTCAGACCGGAACACAAAGTGATTAGATCGGGGGGGTTTGGACGCCAGACAAGACCGGATGGATTAGGAACCCATCACGTCTACTGGCTGGTTTTGGTATGGTCACGTCCCGGATGTTCGGTGGAGAATTCTTTGGATGCTTAACGAGCGTGGAGATATTCCTCTCAAAGCATTATATAACAGAGAATTGCCACCCTCTCCGGTCCCCAACTAAATTTGCTGATACCAGTAAGGCAGAGCAAAATCTGGCTCTGTCTGGCTTTATCTATTAAACGATTAAAGTTGCAGGTATGGTGGTCGATTACTCGGATGAATTCAGCATCGACCCCCCACACATTGGTACCTGAATGTTATTCCTATTCAGTGTGCCCTTAGGTCTATAGTTGTTAAATGGAGTAAGCTTGATCGAATGTCGCCCCAACATCTAACTGGTTTGTCTCTGTTATTATGCCCT